TCATTTTGTGTAAACTTACTCATACAAACATAAAATGAAAAAAATTTTCCATCATTACTTTTTTAGTTATGATGTCAATTCTCAGTATTGTCAAAAATATTTAGATTTTTAGTATTTTAAAAATATTTTATTTTTTTCACTCATTTTGTGTAAACTTACTCATATAAACATAAAATGAAAAAATTAAAATTTCCATCATTACCTTTTGAGTTATGATGTCAATTCTCAGTTTATTCAAAAATTTTAGATTTTTGGGATAAAAATATTTTATTTTTTTGACTCCATTTTGTGTAAACTTACTCATACATAAATTGAAAAAAATTTTAAATTTCCATCATTACTTTTTGAGTTATGATGTCAATTCTCAGTATAGTCAAAAATATTTAGATACTTGGGATTTTAAAAATATTTTATTTTTTTGACTCATTTTGTGAAAACTAACTTATATAAACATGAAATGATAAAAAATTGAAGTTTCTACCACTATTTTTGGAGTTATAATGTCAATTCTCAGTTTAGTCATTTTATTTTAGATTCTTGGGATTTAAAAAAATATTTTATTTTAGATTCTTGGGATATAAAAAAATATTTTATTTTTTTGACTAATTTTGTGAAAACTAACTTGTATAAACATAAAATGAAAAAAATTTCAAGTTTCCATCACTCTTTTTGGAGTTATATTGTCAATTCTCAGTTTTGTCATTTTTTTTAGATTTTTGGTATTTAAAAAATATTTTACTTTTTCGACTCATTTTGTGTAAACTAACTTATATAAACATAACCTTTAAAAAATCAGATTATCACCTTACACCAACAATAATTGTGAAAGTATAAATTTATATTAAAAACAAAATTTGTTTGGAAAAAAACTCCTTTACATATAATGATAAATAAAATAAATGATATTGTTTTATTACAGTAATAAGACTTTGAAAGAGCCATATGTGGGTTAGGCCCTTATTATCTAACAAAGGCATTAGATATATCATCCATGCATCAGAGCTGGGCTGAGATGCAGATGCTGAAAAGGCAATTCTGTTAAAAATACTAAAAGAAAATAGTAATGGGAAATTAATTGCCTCAACATGTGGTCAATTAGCTATACTGAAACCTTTAGGAACAAAAAAACCTAATCAAGTCAAAAGAGCCAAAGCGGTTTAGAACGAAAACAATAAGGGCATAGATTTATTTATTTTTTTAAATATTTAATTTCCAACAATTAATACATCTAATAATTAACTCCCTATATTTATATAAAATAATTTATATATTTTTAACAATTATCGATCCTCCTAGGATTTTACAAATAATTCATATGATATATGATTAATTGTTGCAAGAGAGAAACCTTCTTATCTTCTTATGAAACTTTATAATGAGTTTATATTTATCCTAATTTGTTTTTAAAAAAATATAACTAATAAGATTTGAGGAATATTACTTTTCTAAATTAGAGATTGTATCATTATTTATTAACAAATCTTTAATTAACATTTATGACGAACGTCTTTTTTAAGATATAAATACCAAACGGTCTTTTTTAAGACCAATGAATATCCAACGGCCATTTTAAGAACCCTAAATTTTAATTGAAGTAAACTAGTTTTTAGATCCAATAACAACTATAAATTATTGCATTTATATGAGTCTCAAATCCCAAAAATCTAAAAAATAATGACTAAACTAAGAATTGACATCATAACTCCAAAAATAGTGATGGAACTTAATTTTTTTTTCATTATTATATGTCGTATTGGGATATGGAATCATGTGGGATTAGGAATCCCAACGTAGGGAATTGAGATCTTGAATCCCCACGTTTTATTCGGAATCTTTTTTTTAAAAATAATTTTTTAAAAATATTCTTAATCCCCATGAAAAAAATAAAATAATATAATTACTTTTTCTTCCCTTTTTTGCCGTCTGGCTGGTATACCATATAATTAAAAGGCCAAAATAAGGTATTTTAAAAGAAAATTAAAAAAAAAGTAAATAGTATAAAATTAAGGCATATAATGAATGAAAAATAAGATTAAACATTTTTGTTTTTGTAAATTTATCTGAAATATTAAATATTTTCACATAAATATATATTTTAAGAAAATCCGAATTAAAAATTTTTTTTTATTGCAACAATTCTTCATTTGCTATATGACATTTCGTTGAAATTTAAGGTTGATCTTGAAACATTTGCACCTTTTATTCATGCAACCCATTTTGCAATTGCATAACGATCTTTCCCAAATTTTGTGACATTCGGAAGAAGCTCCTAAATATTTTTAGAAGTTTAGATAAAAAATTAATATATTTTATGCACATGAATTAATTTGAGGTGTATATGTGGTTAATATAAAAATAACTTAAATTACCTATGATTGATATATCTTTGTTGGGAACTTCAAAATCATTTAATATTATAGTTTTATATAGACTAAAGGCAATAAATAGTTCTGAAATTCTTCCAGCATACGTTCTTACCCATATTTTATTCAATTTTTAATACTTTCCTTTCTAAATTTTAAGAATAAAATAACCAACCTGCAGAGATACCATTTGCACGGCCCGGCCCCGATTTTTTTTAAAAAAAATATTATATTTATTTTTAATGGCGATTTAAATATTTAGTTTTAAAATATACGGCCCAGCCTGGGTACTTATATTGTTAAATTAAAATACGACATGACCCCTGTATACCCGGACTGGGCTTAGGACCGGACCTACGGGTCTCTGAAATAACTGATATGAATTATCAATAAATTTAATTATAATATAAATTAGTAATTGTATTGGGCGGGATTTTTTTTCATAGAATTTCTAAATTATTACATTTTGAAATGCAAATTTTTTAACATGATTTAAGAATCTTATTGGGCGGGATTTTTTTCATGGAATATTTAAATTATTACATTTTGTTATATTAATACAATTATTTTATTTTTAATACTAGTTTAAAGATTTTCTTACCCAAAACAGTTACAAAATATAATTTATATAAAACCATATTAAAAACACCCATATACAAATCTATTCAAAATATACAGAGGAAATGCAGATAATATTTTTAACGATTCCGTTTTTTTATTGTTTACTAATGAGGAAAATTATGTGAAAGCTATATACATTGCTATTAAAATAGCATAGGTTTCAATCAAAGATTCGTGCTTTTCAATTGTCCATAATATTACTAATAGTCCTCGTTCAAAAAATGTTAGCCATAAAATTACATGGGAAAATATAATAGTTGTGCTACCAATAATATTGGGAATAGTATTTCTAATATTTTAAAAAGAGACCCTTTATTTTTTGTATTTAAATGATCGCGGGCGTCAAAACATAATTTATTCTCAAATAATTGGACAAAATAACTTTATCTTAGGTCATCACTTGTTATTACCTATCCATATGACAGATGGAACAAATATCTGTCCTAAGAATTTAGAAGTGGTATTAAAAATTGAACAAAATAAAATATGGGTAGGGTGTGCTGGAAGAATTTCAGCACCATTTATTGCCTCTAGTCTATATAAAACTATAAAATTAAATGATGTTGAAGTTCCCAACAAAGACATATCAATCATAGGTAATTTAAGCTATTTTTATAGTAACCACATATACTCCTCAAATTAATTTATGTACATAAAATATATTAATTTTTTATCTAAACTGCTAAATATTTAGGAGCTTTCCCGATGTCACAAATATGGGAAAACAGCGTTATGCAATTGCAAAATAGGTAGCATGAATAAAAGGTGCGACTGTTTCAAGAACAACATCAAATGTTCAACAAAATGTCATATTGCATTGAATAATTGTTGCAAGAAATAATTAATTCGGATTTTTTTAAAAATATATATTTATCTGAAAATATTTGTGATTTTATATAAATTTACAAAAAATGTCTTTTAACCTTCTTTTCACTCATTATAAGCTTTAATTTTATACTATTTACTTTTTTAAACATTCTTTTATCCTTTTTGATAATTTATATAATTTATTTATTATAACAAAATATCTCTAAAAAATAAAATTTTCTGGTGCCAGCCAGGTGGCAAAAAAGGAAGAAAAAATATATTATTTAATTGTTTTAAAAAATATTCCGAATCCCTATGGGTTTTATTTAAATTTAAAAATTTAAAAAAAATATTTTAAAAAAAGATTCCGAATAAAACGTAGGGATTCAAGATCTCTAATCCCCACGTTGGGATTTCAAATCTCACAAGATTTCATATCCCAATACGACATATATATAAGTTTATGAGTCAAAAAATAATTTTTAAACATTTTTTAAATCCAAAAAATCTAAAAGGAAATGACTGAACTGAGAATTAATATCATAACTCCAAAAATAGTGATAAAAGCTTAAAATTTTTTTCATTTTATGTTTATATAGGTTAGTTTACAGAAAATGAATCAAAGAAATAAAATATTTATTCCCAAAAATCTAAAAAAAATGACTAAACTGAAAATTGACATCATAACTCCAAAAATAATGGAAACTTAATTTTTTTTAGATTTTATGTTTATATAAGTTAGTTTACACAAAATGAGTCAATAAAATAAAATATTTTTTAATCGCTAAAAAAAAAGGAAATGTCTAAACTGAGAATTGACATCATAACTCCAAAAAGTTTTTATTTTATGATTATATAAGTTTGTACCAAATAAATTAATCCAGAGTAAAGAATTAAGCTCCTATAATTCATATAATTTTTAATTTAAAACTAAATATTCAATCTATTACGCCATCTAACGGAAATATAATTATGATTTAAAAATTTATTATGGGAATGGGTATTATATTTACTATGTAATAAACCTGTTCTATACATATTGTAAATTTATTGACTACATTTCCATCTATATTCTTTTTATTTATTTAGATAATTTTAATTTTAGATAAATATGATTTATACATATAAAATATAATTGATAGGCTATAAAAAAATTAATTTTACTTGTCTATTCTCAGTTTGCCAATCAATTCTCAGTTTACCTATCAATTATCAGTTTATTTAGACCGTAAAATTATGAAAGATTTTAAACCATGTGTTATAGATGGTTCTATGAAAGAAGGGGTCTGATAATATTTAATTAATTTTTTTAACGTAATTCATAAATTAAAAGGGAGGTCAGATTTTAAGAACCGCTTTATCATTTTCTGCAATCCTCAAGTTACCGATTTTAGTAAATAATATCAGAGCAGGTAGATCATCTCCTGGATTAAAGTTTTATATAAAAACTATCAAATAATATATTTTAAAAAAGATCACAACATCTTAATGGACTTTGGTTGATGAAAGACATATGTAAAGCTAAGCTAGAAGGAGATTTTGATGGATCAACACAAATTTCATTTTCTCCTAATGAAATAGGAAATGGTGATTATTATGCTGATGCTAAGACAGCTGGGTTTTATATATTTAAATCAGTTAATTTTTATACTAAAAATATTTTATCATAAGATAATATAAATCAGAATACCAAATATTGAACTGGGATAAGGGTTTCTATATCAAAATATTTGAATTGTGGTATAAAATTTTATTGCACACCCACATGTCACCCTCCCAACCCCTCTCTTTTTAGAAAAATGTAAAGACCTTAAGAGTTATTTATTTTTAAAGATTACTACAATTCATGATTGATTTTATAAAATTATAAGCAACATAATTTATATTTTGTTCCCTTTCATTTTGAACATTAGAGAAGAAAGTAATAAAAGATGTCATTACCCCTATTACCATACTTTTGAACATAGTTTTTATAAAAAGAATATCTATTAATTTTAAATAAAAAGAAAGTTGCTATAATTTACAGAGAAAAATACTCAAATATCCTCACTTTTTACAAGGATGAATTTCCCTTATAAGATGTGAAAAGTAATATAGAATCAAATTCTTTTATTTAAAGATACCATTCTATAACAGATATACTTAATATGTTAGATATCTCCAGACATCATGTCAATCATTTTCTAAGAATATTTAGAGATTCTGATTAACATTTTGTTAAAATCAAGAGGAAAATCTCACAAAATGCAAAATTCTCATATTAAATATATTTTAGCTAAAATAGACAATTAATATCCTATTTAAAAGAAAATTAAGATTAAATTTTTATTTGAATCTGGGGTTATTAATAGCTGATAAATAAAAAAAATTTCTTATTCATTTAAGAGTGTTCCAATGTTCCTGAGTGAAGGAATATAAATGAGGCAATTCAAAAAAGGAAAACTTAGAATATTGCATAATGACAGTAAATTGCTTTTTTTGGATGAAACATGGTTGGTTTAATCAGGCATATATAGAGGACTGCAAAGTGATTTTTTTGTGGATCTAGACAAACCCGAGCCTGGATTCATTTTTTTTCAACCTGAACCCAGTGTGAATATTATAATATATAAAAAACAATTAAAAATTATGTTTATTACCTTAGATAAAAATTTAGTTGACAGCTATAATATAATCAATATTTATATTAAGTTGCATTTTTAAATTGGAAACATCTATCTTTTATTCAGTATAAATAATAAAAAAAATTGAAATACAATAGAATTTAAAAATGGTTGCGATTATATAAAAATAATGTGCATGATATAATGAACATATTATAATAATATATAATTATTAATAGCATCACATAGTGAATAATTATGATATATAAATAATGAGGAGTCAAGTTTATCAGGCTTTAAACAAGTCCTCCTATCTTTAAAGGCCCTTCCAGCCATGAAAGCACTCTTTCACTGCTAGTCGAGGAATCTGGGATAGCCAGGAATTTAAGAGCCAAAACTTAAATTGGGAAAATCGTTTTTTTAATTCTTCCAATTTAAGATTTGATAAACGATTTCAAATATTGAAAATTTGAGATTATTTAATTAAATCGATTTTAGGTAAATATATTTTAATTCAGGGATCCAAACTGAACTGTTTAACCGTTATAACCGGTATAAAGCACTCTTTCACTGCTAGTCGAGGAATCTGGGATAGCCAGGAATTTAAGAGCCAAAACACTTAAATTGGGAAAATCGTTTTTTTAATTCTTCCAATTTAAGATTTGATAAACGATTTCAAATATTGAAAATTTGAGATTATTTAATTAAATCGATTTTAGGTAAATATATTTTAATTCAGGGATCCAAACTGAACTGTTTAACCGTTATAACCGGTATTTTTTACCCACCTGAGCCGAACCGCTAAAATGCCAGTGAACTGACCCAATGATTTTATGCTTATAAAATAGTATGAAAGTTATTACTAGTATATTGCTAAAATTCTAGTTTATATTCGAATTTTTAAAGATTATTATCAAGCAGTTTTGACTGATAAGTGTAAGTCACAATTTTAATAAACATTAGTATATTACTATTTTAAAACATTTTTTAAATATTAAGCTTATAATGCCCATGCCTATCGATAAATTAAGTCGATGACACATCAAAATATAATATTAGTAATTGTTATACAACTATGAATGGGCACAACGGTGCAAATCTCAAGCGTCACTAGAAAGGAAACCACCCTTTAGAGCTCAATATAATCAAATTATCACAACAAATAAAACATATAATTTGAATGTATGCTTGAATACAAAAGTTTTCAAACTAGTTTTTAGAGGTTTGAACCTAACCGATATTTTTATTTTTCCGAACCTGAACCTTGAACCGTTATTTTTATCCGAACCTAAACCGAACCGACATTCGTTTCGGATCCCTGTTTTAATTAACCTGATAGAATATTATGTAAATAAACTATGCAATAATAACACAAAAATATAATAACAAACTAGTTTGGTAAACGGATGTTATGATGTTTTTCTGATAATATTTTAAAGATCAAATGGTTAGATAAAAAATGACATGTTATTTTAATTGACATTATAAATTAAAATGATTATTTAGGATATTTAAATTTTTTTATCAGGTTATTCGGGTCGGATACCTCTTACATCCTTGCAGATCTCTTGGCGCATAACCAATGGGGGAGGATTACAAATTTGTCTGTTCTCGTAAATATCATTTTAAGCTAATAAAATTTCCCCCTCCCCCAAAATGTATACAATATATCATTATAAGGAAAAATTTAAAAAAAAAATTTTTGGGCCCGGCCCGGATTTTTTGGGCCCGGCTCGGAATTTTTTAAAATTATCGACCTACAAAAAATTTACCTATTCGGTATTTTATCATATTTTTCGGCGAGTATTATCATTTAATAAGCAAGCATATTAGCTAATGTTGTTAAACGGCTCGTTTTAAGCCGATTTTAAAAACGGCGAACTCAATATTTTCACTAAAAAAATTTTGACTACGCCTCGAAATTTCGATACTATATGTCTAGATCTTTGCTCCTTCTATGAACAAAATTTTCAGACTTGCGTAAAATTTTTCTGGATAAAATACTGTGTTAGCCGTTTTTAAAAATCGGCTCAGAACGAGCCGTTTTACAATACTACGATATTACATATTTCATTTATTTTTATTCTAAACTTATATTTAGTATATTACAAATTGATACTATAAAAATTTGTGTAAATAATATTTTGAGAATATACTATATTAATTGTATTTATAAAAAAAATAAAACTGATATTTTAATTAATAAAAAATATGACATATATACTATAATAATGTATTTAATCCTTTTCGTATTTATTCCATGGCAGGAAAACTATAATTATATTATGTAATAGATACTAGTGAAGGTCACGGTCCGGTCTTTGGTCCGGAATGGACCGATACCCTCGGACCGGACCGGACCACGGTCCTTAAAAAAAATCGATCCAGACCGTGGTCCTAAATAAAAAGACGGTCCTGGACCGGTCTTTTTATTTGTTTAAAAAACATATTTTTTTTAACCTAATTTAATTTGTTTTATCATTTTATTAAATATAAGAGTATTATATAAACAATATAATTAATTATGAATAATATAATAATTAATACAAATATTTAATTTAAATAAATGCTAATGTCGTTGTTTGTAGAACTTCCTTGGAAGGAATTAGGAGATGGACTTAATGGAAGAGGTAGATCTATTCCATTCTTTAACCAAGAGCCCATACACATCAAAGCTTGTATTGTTTTGTTTGAAAGCCTATTCCTTTTTTTAGTGACAAGATCTCCTGCTTTCGAAAATATTTGTTCACAGGGGACAGATGTTGCTTGAATTGCTAAAAAATTTCTAGCTGCTAATGAGAGGACTGGAAATCTATATAATAAACTATATTGACTATTTAAAAAATATAAAAGACCTTTCTCTATTGGCTTTCCACCATACTAATATGTCATCCTTTAATGAAACAAGAGGTTTATTCAAATAGTTGTGAAGTTCTGTAATATTTTCTTCAATTATTTCTGCCGATATATAATCCCCTTCTGAATTTCTTTTTTGGGAAATTCTTTCTAAAAAACTAAATTCATTGATTTCCTCCTGGCACAAATGTTTGAAAATTAGGATTTAATAAATAAATATTAAAAATATACCTGAGAATCCGTTATTCCTGTATTTTTTTTATTTTCGATTTTCCTTAAATATTTTGAAAATTTGGTCATATACTCAATTCTATCAAGAGTATTAGGCATGTAAACTTGTTTTAATCTCGGATCCAATAATGTTGAGACATATGATTCATAGCAAAATAATTCTTTGAGATATTTCTGCATTTTAACCAGCATGTTATTAAGAATTTCTTTTCTTGTATTTTTATTATCTTTTTTTATATCATTTAAAATTTCATTACTTATATTCTCCATATATAACATGGAAATCCCAACTGTAGGATATTTGGATCCTGATAAATCAAGTGTGGTTTTATAGAAGGGCCTTAGAAAATCTACAGCCTCTTTAAGGTCTTCTTTTTCACACTCAGTAAAGAAAACCCCTTTAAATTGTTTGTAATTCAAAAAAAATACTTCTTCTATAGCATCCATGTTTTAAAAATTAAATATTTTTTAAAAATAATTGGATAAAAATGTAAATACCTCATAAATTGTATTCATCATTAAATAGGAGCTATTCCATCTAATAGGGATATCAGAAGGGATTTTAAATTTTGTAATACTCTTATTTTCACATATTTGTACATATGCTTGATTTATTTTGGGTGATTTATTTATAGGAAAGGCTATGTCTCTACACTTTTTTAGGATAGTTGTAATATATGTTAAACCTTCCTGAGATATTAGGTTTAGAATATGGGCACAGCATCTAAAGCCTTTAAATTTTTGTTCCTTATAAATATTCTGCAAAATATCCATGCTTTTTAGGATGTTATTGGCATTATCTGTAGTACAGGCCAGTATATTCTCCTCCAGTTGATATACATCAATTACTTCTTTTATAGCTAAGGATATTTCTTCAGAAGTATGAGGAAATGGGATATGATTTATATCAAGTAAAATATTTTTTAATGTAAAAGAAGAATCAATATAGTGTGCAGTAATGGCTATAAATGAAATTTTATTTATATATTATTTTTATTTAAAATATCTTTTAGAGAATTTCTTAGTTTCTCAATAGCTGTATAAAAATTTTTAACTTTGTTTTTTGACCAAATTGTAGCAGTTGAGTTTAAATATTTGATTAAATTATGAAGACCTGAACTTTCAAAAGTCTTCATTGGCAGAGAGTCCATTATTACCCATTTTATTATTAATTGGTTCATATGTTCAGTTTGAAATTTATCCAATGGTATTGAAGAAAGTGATTTTGTGCTTGTGGAGGGCATATTAAAATTAAGAGTAGATTGTGTTTTTGAGATATTTCCATTTTCATCATTAGAAATATATATTTTATGTTTTATCAGATGTCTGCTTAATGTACCTAATTATTTTATTAAGAATAAGGTTAAATTATTTTGACAATGAATTATTCAGACAGTTTCTTAAGAAAAAATAGATATATAAATAATAACCAAAATATTTTAATAATAATACTGCTTATTTTGGATTAATTTATTGCTTAAAAAATTATAAACAATTATTTTGTTACTTGTTGCTGACGATATGTTAAATTTGGTATTACAGTGAACACATATTCTATGTTTTTTATTAGGACTATAAGTAAAATGTTTCTTGGACAAACTTATGGTTTTCATATTGTAAAAAAAAATTAACAAAATCTAAAATAACTCCTCTAGGAAAATATCATAAAATAAATATACAAAAAAATTAGTAAACTTAAATATTAATAAAAGACCAGTTCGGACCGCAAAAATAAAAAGACCGGTCCGGACCGCAAAAAATAAAAAGACCGGTCCGGACCACGGTCTTCAACAAAAAGATCGGTTCGACAATCGGTCCGGTCCCGGTCTAAGACCGATAGGACCGGACAGTTGACCTTCACTAATAGATACTATGAGTGTTAGTTAGTGTTAACTTTCACCCAACATTATATTAATCATAACTATATATAATCATTATAATCTAATTGACGAATATAATAATTGTATAAATTTTTTAAAAAAATTTTTCGGCCTGGCCCGGGTATTTTAAAAAAAAATTTTCAGGCCCGGCCCGGGTATTTAAAAAAAAATTTTGGCCTCTGATTTTAGCATTACCACTGATGTACAAAATTATTTTAAACAAATAAATGCATTTAGAATTTTTTAATAGTAATTTTATAGATATTCAGCTGATTTTTATTACCTGATATATAGCGCTTTTGCCCTCTAGCGTTGAAGGTTCAATAGAGCTACGCTAGGTTTTCCTCATTTCCATCTAATTGGAACTGATTTAATTTGGGTATAAAAGTAAAAATATGAGGAGCCCTCCACACGCTTGTAAGCAAGCCGCACGTACTTGTAGGCGCAACATTTCGAAAAATGATACCTAAACCTCTATAGATTTATTAAAAAAGGAGTGCGGCAGAAAAAGAGCCTATACCCGAGAACTGCAGTATAATATAATTTACTTTAAGGGTGGGTGGTGGCTGATTTTAAGTTTAAATTCTGTGTAGGTCATAAAGATTACTATCAATATTGATAATGTTCATAGAATATGTAAAATAAATATATAATTAAATAAAAAAAATTACCTGATCAGTATGATATAGTATTATTTTTTATTAATGATTCAACCCATACAATGCAGTACTATCACTTCAACATTTTTGCACCAAATGGGACCGCACCCCGAAATTTGTAAAAAAAAGTTGAAAAAATGAATTTGTTCGAAAATGGTAAAAATAGCATGTGATATTTTTTAAATTATTTTTTCTATGTTCGAATTGAATAAGAATAAAATTTAAAAAAATTTTTTTAAATTATTTTTTCTATGTTCGAATTGAATAAGAATAAAATTTAAAAAAATGTTGTTTACGCATTTTATGCTCTCATAATATTAGCTTATATTTAAAACAGTGGCACACCCTGTGTTTCATGTCCCCAAAGCTAATTCGATTTCTTTATTTTATTTACATGTTGACAGATAAAGGATTGGAACCTCAAATTATGTTATATCTTTAAATAAAATTAATTTAAAGCTTTATATTTTAAATTAATAAACTATATTATAGTTATTATAGATTGTTATCAATTTTATGACAGTTTTTCCAAAAGAATTTTTTTTGTAATTAACTAACATTATTTTAAATGCCACAATATGATATAAAAAATATATAAATAAAATTGACGATATAGAATTCAAAACAGTGACGGCTTGAGCCCCCTGAAAAATTTCAATAGCCCCCTTTAAATTTTTTTAATGGCTCCTTAATATCCCCTTGAACTAAAAATAAATTTTTTGATTGTCCCCTGAATGATTTCTTTTATAATTTTATTAAGTAAATATAGATTTAATTTTAATATTTAGAAATTAATAAGACTCTAAATTTTTTATTAAATGATTACTATTTTAATTATTAGATTAGATTAATACATATAAATTATATTTTCACTATGTCAGCTTGCAATCAAATTCTGTGTTATAAATAGAATATCAATACAACTCACTAAATATTAATTTCGCTTTAACATTTGAAGCTTAATTGACTTTTATTATTTAAATTATTATATAGCCCTAATTAAATAAATATAATAATTTATTAATTAAAAATTAACTAATTTAATATTGTAATTAGCCGAGTTTAAAATCACTAAATAACTATATTATTCTATTTAAATTTAATTACCATCCTCTTCCTAAAAATGAGATTTCTTTATAAAAAGTAAATAGACCTATAGTTTATAATCCTCTATTATATATAATTGGTTATAAAATATTTGGTAAAATAACACTTTTACAGACGTATTTGACAGTTATATAAAGTATAGTTAATATTTTAATAAATTTTGCTAATAAATGCTTTTGATAATAAATATAATTAACAATTTGCATTCAAATCTTTAACGCCATCTATTTAAAAATACTATTAAAATAAACATTTTATTATTCATCCCACAATAGATATAATAAATTAGATATCTTTTCTTCTCTTCGTGTTATTAGGAAAGTTATTTTTTTCTTATTTGAAAAACAGTTTTGAGTTAAATTTTTAATACGATTATATTTTTAATATTATTACAAACTACTATAATTTTTAGATATAATATACTAACTAGAGGTGGTGCGACTATAATATATAAAATCTTTAGCTTTCATCATATCACACTGGTTCTTATTTTATAGTTAAAAAAATTCATTTTTAATATGGCATCATTGCCGTGTAAATTAAGGCTTCAATATATTTGCATAATTTCTTCTAAAAATTTTAAGCATTTTTGTTTTATCAATTTATCTAACATAAATTTCTGATATGAGTTAACATCGTGAATGTGGCGGGGACTGCAAATTAACCAGCATCTATTATTTGTGTGGCTATATAATTTAAGATTATTACTACAGTTGCTGAGAGCATATAATTGCATATTTTAATTAAACAATAATTATCATGTTGCCGTTTATATATCATTAAAAATGGAAGATAACCTTTTAGAAATTCATTATCTCACAATAATTTTCTCGATTACTTATCTAGCTATGTCATCTAAGAGGAAGCTCTAACCACCATATAGTTTTATGATTTAGATTGGTCGTTTATATTCTCTTCTTCAAGAATTGTTAATTTGGTTAGACCTATAAATTTTTCCTTATTAGTCCATTCTATAAAACGTTGTCTAAAATGGTAACAGAGATTTATATTAGTTTTATGACCTTTTCTCAATGCAAGTTGCTAAGAGTTATATTATATTATGTGGTTTTTAAAAACCACAATTGAGTCATATGTATGAATTAATTAACCTTTTTTATCACTTGTAATTTTTTAGACACATAATTTTTTATATCAGCAATTGAAAATATTTTATATTGGAATAAATAGATTTTGTATTAAAAAATATTATTTTTAGAAATGTCTTGTATTGTTTTTATTATTATATGCTAGTTTATTTTGTATGCATAATATATTAAAATAAAACCCGGCCGAAGGTCCGCAAATTAGGGATGGGGGCGAAGCCCCCATTAAATTTTTTTAGTTGAGCCCCCTGAGATTGTAAAGGCTAGCGCGCCCCTGATTCAAATATTCATATAATATAATTTTTAATCAATCCTTCATAGCACAGGCGGGATTATGCAGACCCCAGTCATTTAAAAACTTTATTACTCAAAATTCTTTCGATATTTTGCCTACATCTTTTAGTAGCTTTAATTTTTTTAGATAAAATATATATGTCCAAAATTAATTTCGATTTTGGTCGGTAGGAGCTTGGGGTCTTCATAGACCCCACTTAGTTATGCGTGTGACTTTTTTTTATATATTAACTAAAAAAAACACTTTTTTATACATTATTTTTATTAATTAAAAATTATATTATATAAATATCTAAATCTTAGATAAACTTTCTACTTCATCAATTTTTTTTAATATTCTGTGTTATTTTAAAGTAATTTGTCACTTTTTTGACTCTTGACAAAAGCAACAGTTAAAGCAACTCGATTATATGGAACCCCACCTAGATTTTAATACCTTTTTTTCACCTGGGCTATGAAAGGTAAATAAAAATAGATTTATTACTATCAGCATAGGCTTACAAGTTAATAATTTTTAGAAAAAAAATAATCCCGTTTTAAATCCCTAAATCTATTTAAAAAAATATATTATTAGGAGCGTGTCCTTGTTACTTCAAGTATCATTACCTTGCTTGATATTTGCTAAACCTAACCCTCCTTCCAACCACTCATTTAATAATAACATTAATCACACTACATTGACGCTCAAAGGAGGCACGAATGCGGATATGGCGCCACCCATAGATTTTACCTCTCACATTTTATTACCCATTCTCAAAAATTTTATACCAGTTTTTTGTAATAAAATAAATGACAAAGTTGCAGAATCTGATAATATCCAATCAACTTTTCAAGATGTTAGAACACCTATTCAAGCGCCAGAGATGGATCAAACATCGAATCACAGCTTTAAAATTATGGACATTAAATTAGAATTGATTAAAAGAGGGTTTTTCCCAAAAGGTGGAGGTGAAGTTAGGATATATATTGATAAAATGGAAATTGGATCTGACAAGCCGTTAAATCCTATTATTCTAATCAATCGAGGCTCTATACATTCTATCGATGGTATAGTATATCTTTCGGAACAATTACCTATCGACGTAAGTGGAATTATTTATTTTTCATTTTCGCTTTAATTATACCAGCAGTGGCGTAATTAGACTAAAAGATTTGGAAGGGGAAGGAGGAATATGGGGAACACCTAAAAATTACCTAAATTAAAAAAAAATGCTATTTTTATAATAATTACAAATCAAACAATTTTATAAGAAAGTTGTTGCAGATATATGGAAACGTTTTACTATAAATCATGCACACACTGTATATTATATATAATTTTAATATAATATAATGTGGTAAAAGATTATTATTGTTTTAGGAGAATATTTCAAACACTATTAAAATATTCTATTGTAAATTAACCACCTTTGACTTATTGTTTTTATTATTAATAAAATAATTATTATGTCTGAATTCTTGACATAGGTTCACCATTTTATTAATTTCAATACCAAATAAAGTAGTTTATATATATAAATGAAATCATTTTTAAAATCTAAAAATAAGCATTAAGCCCAGTGTCCTGGTTCTTCTTATTTTTGAAACTTATTTCTGTTTAGAACAGTTTATTCAGATTTTGAACTAGGACATCCTATTCTGTTTTTTTAAGTGTGCACAATTTCAATAACCTCTTTTTATTATATTTAGAGGAGGCTATATAGATAGCTAAACAGATATCAGTTTAAAAATATGACGAGTCAAGACAAGGCCTATGTATTTATACAAGAACAGACTAACTTTTAAGAATTTTGCATCTTTTATGGAGGGCTAGAGATTTTAAATAGAGGGGCAGATTCCGCATTTGTCATCCGCCTAATTACACTGTTTAATGGGTCTTCTCGTCTATTTTATAAATGCTACACCCATCGAATATTTAATAATTCCATATTATTTTTTAATGATAATCAGAATTTTCACTTAAATCTATTTTAGCCTCAATAAAAATAAATTTATATTCTAATTTCCTCTTGTATAACAAACCCTTTATCTTTATTTGATAAAAAGTATCTTTATAAATATATGATCCTCAAAGTTTATGTGACAAAATTTCTTTTATGAAAGATATCTATATCACCAGCCATGTGAAAGGCTGATTCTGATGGAACACTTATACCAGGATATGACAAATACTTACATGCAAGGTCTACTTAAGTTGACAACCTTTGAGCATTAACCCTCCAAAGATGATCGATCGGAGATAAAATATTGATACCTTCGTTATTTAATGAAATTTAAATCCGCATCATTTTTATTTACTAGTTCTTTTTTAAAAAAATAATGGGACAAAAAATAGACAAATAAAATAGACCAGATATTTTGGGTAATTTTCTTTTATATTAGTTTATTAATATACTTTACTTCTTCTATCCTTAAAAAATGTAAAAACAAAACGGTATCACATCATTTTGGCCCAACGACAATTCGCCGCGGATCTAAGTAAGTTGCAATTTATTTAAAAATAATCATTAAAAACAAATTGATTTTTATATGGCAGGAAACGTTTATAAAAAAAATTATTAATTTTTTCCACAAACAAAGTTCATTCTTTATTAAAAAATATTTAACTAATGATGCACAGCCGCTGTACATTTTTAGATTATTTATATAAAACTACGCACTTATGTGGAGTATTGGGGAAATATTTAGATGTTGGCTTAATGTACTGCTACGTGGGTCATGGTAAGGCCTGATATGAGTGACGGTTAATTTAAGCATAAAAGTAGATTATGAGAAATACTTAATTTTATTAAAAATAAACTCACATTCGGTAAAATCTAACAAAAACTTATTGCAGCTGAACAGCGCGAAGCAGCTAGTAATTATCTATTAGTCTTAGCACTACACAATTCAGGCTAAGACCAAGCTAGTGGACCGCGGTAGAATTTCACTTAGGTCTATGCAACAAAGATAACGGTTAATCTTTAATTTGCATTAAATGAAGAGAAATACTAATTTAATTTAGACACCAAATCCACTACATTTGGTAAAAATAGATACTGAGCCATTCCATGCCAAACCGATCACTGTTCGGCCGACCTTCATCCCTAGCTTTAACTGTTATAGTTGTTGTGAGGTCTGAAAACTGAATTTGAATAATTACATTTATTATTTTATTGTGCGAGAAATAATCGCATAATTTGAATGATTACAATTATTATTATAATTTTATATTAGGTAGTTTTATTACATTTATTATATTATGTAATTTATATGCTATTTAAGATTTATCATTCATAGATGTTTTAAATTTTTAGTTTATAATTTATATAAAGAATAATAGAATCTATTTTGTCCAGGGCTATTTATGTCCAGGAAATTTATGCCCGGAATTCAATTAATAGGAGCAGAACCAACTTTCAACCATCAACACACTTTTTAATTTGATAAATGCCATAATTTAATTTGTTTTTATATTAATAAAATGATGGTTTTTAAATAAATCGCAGCTTAATTAGATCCGCGCCAAATTAGCGCCGATTTGTCACCGAGTTGAATTGTAATTGCGCCAAATTGACATGCAACCAAAAAACATATTTTTATTTTGACCTTCACATTTTTCTATGGGAGTTATGAAGATTTATTACTAGAAATGTAAATTAATTCAAAAATAAATCAAAAATATGAATAAAATGTAAAAAAATGTGTATAAAATAGGTATCTGTTAAATTTTTTCTAAAAGTCCAATATCGACGCCGATATTTAATATCGATGCATCCCTATTAATGGCTATTAATATAAAAAATTATAAGTTGATCTTTAGTAAAAATTATAATGGAATAGTAATAAAATAATTAGTTTGCATGCATGCAGAATCCAATCCTATCAACATTGTTTCTATTTGTAGATGGCTAAAGAAATGCAAAGTGTCGCTCAAACATTTATGATTAAACATTTTTCCCATATACCTATCAACATCAAAATTATACACGAAACCCCAACCACTGCTTATGGGCCAGGGTCTGGTATAATGTATGCATTTAATTAATTTTTTTACTAGGGTGGTATAGAAAAAACCGTTTAAAAACATTTTTTTTTAAACGGAAAAAACAATATTTTTTTTAACTACTAGCAAGGATCCGAATTGTTAAACTGGTAATAACCATTGCCATTATTATTTACTAGTCCTAAAACGAATTATTCGTTATTCGATTTGATTCGTATTTTACGAATACTAATAACACAATTATATTCGAATTGAATATGAATAACGAGAAAAATTATTCGTCGAATAGTAAATTTATATTTTTCGATTCAAATTATTCAAAATTATTTGTTTATTCGAAATTATTCGTATTCGAAATTAATCGTACTATTCGAAATTTTTTTTAAATATTCGTATTTTTAGGAGATATTTATTTTTTTGTTAGTATTCATAAGTAAATAAAAAATAAAGTATTAAATTTTCCTAGGATTTATTTTATTTTTTCTTTTTAACTTCAAACATTTAATTGTTGTAATTATGATAATTTAAATAATTTTTTTAGATATTAATATTATATATATTTGTTCGGATAAGATTATGAAATCATTGTATTTTATTTTGCTTATTATTTTCTGTAAATTTTAGCTTAGTTTTACCAGAATCCTTAAAGGTGTTATTTGGAAATGTCCACGTCTGTTTATGATTTTTTTTTTGCAAAATATAATCTATTTTTATAAAGATTAGAAATTTTTTTAATCAAATCAAATATTCGACGAATCTAATCGTATAATGATTTTAATATTCGTACACTAATAGCATAATTATTCCATTCAATTCGTTTTTTGTAGGCCACATTTACAGAACCAAACCTGAACCATAAAAATATTTGTCACTAGAACCGAACCTTATAAATGGACTGAACCTATTGATATAATTACTGTTTAAAATATTATTATCAATCTTAGCTATTTTTACCAGAGTTGTACAAAAAATTATCAATTTTAGAAAGTTCTTTGTAGATCATAAAATTTGGAAATTTTTTTCCAAAATTTTTTTTAAGCAACGGTTACGATTCAAAAATATTTAAAAAGTTGTAAAATAATGAATATGAAAATTGTCACTATTCTAATTCACTTAAATCTTAATTAATGTTTATAATTTATATTTTTACCAATTTGCTTTAAAGAAATTTTATGGTTCATCTTCATTTAAATATTGATTTAACCAGAGTGTAACGCTATATCTTTTTTGGTAGCGATAACTAATAGCGCGCTACTTTTTTTATTAAAAAAATATAATGAATATAACAAAAATATAATGAATATAACTATAAAGTATTAAAATTTAAATATGTATGATTTATTATATAATTTTGAAATTTATATTTTCATTTGTATTATAAACCTAAATCATATAATGTAAATTATTTAAAATGTCATCGCAAATGGAAACCGAAATCAATGTGATAAGTAAATGATATATTATACAGTGGTGCCCTGGAAGATCTTGATAACTATAATACAAATTTTCATTTTCAAAATTTGAAAAATATTTTAAAATTAATGTAAAAACAAGACTACAAATTTATTGTTTTAAAAATATATATCCTCGAATAAATCTAGTAGCTATAACCTCAAAAAACACCTAAAGGTAAATGACATTTTAAAATTTATATTTTTATTTTGTAAGAATGTTCATGCTAACAGTTAAAGAGATAGAAGAACATCTTAATAATTTTGGTATAGGGGAGACTCCATCTAAAAAGCCCAATTCAATTCAAACCAAATTGATTAATAATATTGCACATGCCAATATTTCTCAGAAACAGGCTGATAAAGTTATTGTCTATTTTATAATTGAAACAGCTCAGCCAATTCATTGGAAAATCCATCATTCCATGATGATTAAAACTCTATCCCCTGGTACTTGTCGTCAGATACTAATCAGATGGCAGACAAAGATGCCCTAGTTAGAACCATAAAAAAGACTTCCACTGAAAGTTTTTTTAAAAATAAATGATACTAATATAATAGAAAATTTCCTAGACGCGTTTTTTAAATTTAAAAATACTAAAAGAGTATTTTTGATAATTTTTCTTATATTAAAAATATGTATATAAAATTAAATACAACCTTGCCCTTAAGTGTTGGTGCTGAGAGATTATTTATTAACGCGAAACTTATATTTTCTGATCGTCGCTCTTGACTTGGGGATGATAGTATAGAAATAATTTTATTATTAAAATGCAACAAAATAAATATTACCATAAATAATTATTTTTATTACATAAATTTTTTATAATCAATAACTAACTATATTTAAATATATAAATGTTGATTTTTATGAAACTATACAATTACATTATAAGCATCTAAATTTTTATAAAAAGTAGCCAAAGTTACATTTAAAAAATGGTAGCTAATAGCGCGCTACTTTTTTTGATAAATAGCGATAGGGGTAGTGCGTTACTTTTAATAGTATGGTTTAACAACTCTGAATTTAACATGTTTACAATTTAAGTTATAATCCATTTCCTTCAAATTAAAAAAAATTATAAAAATTTACTAAATTTGAACCTCCCAATATAAATAAAATTACAATTTAAATTTTTACCATCTTCAAAATTTGTGATCTTTAAAGATTACCTTGTTCAAAAATTTTATGAAAAAAAATATGCAAATTATCGAAGGGTTTTTAATTTTGAGCAAATATATAACTCTGATTTTTACAGTTACCCAAGTTAGCTTATAGTGTTCCCAACCATGTAATTTATTTTTTCTAGAGAACATATCATTTATAAATACTGTTTATTTTTTTATAATTTGGGAATATTTGTTTATATGTGCAATAATAATAAAATTAAACGGGGTTTTAGTTTTAAAATTTAAAAAAAATTATGCTTAAATATACAAATCGTTTTGGAAAGGATTCATATCAGGTTTTAAATATTCAAACCGAACTGTGTTTTGTACAAACCGAACCTGAATTCTGTACAGTTATGAATATCAGAATCGATATTCGTTACGATTCGGATCCCTGCGTAATTTAAAAAAAAACCCGGATTTCAAAATCCGGGCCGGGCTGACTTAACTAGAAAAATTGGGAAATTATATAATTTAATTAGTATTCATTTATTATTGTCCATATTTTCAATTTTTCCTTTGAAACAATATTCAAAATATAGCAAAAATTTATTAAAATAACAAAATTTGAAAAATTTCCGGCAATAAAATAATAAAAAAAGAAATAAATCCGGGCCTAAGATTTTGTCATCTGCAGGTCTCTGATATATATTAAAGAATTTGTTCACAAAATACTTGATTTTCTTCAAAATAATATTTAAAATTATTGCAAATCAAAAAAATAGTTTGATAGCTAGATCGGAATATGATTGCCTCATATCTGGCTCCGCTCTCGGAAAAAGAGGTACGTCATCATAACAATTCATGGCCTATTATAATTTTTATGTTACATGATTGTGGTAGGGGTTAAAGCTCGAGATGTAGCCATGTCAGCTTGCGAAAAGCTTTTGGAAAATTTGAACCATAATGGATGCGTGGACGAATATACCCAAGATCAAGTTATAAAATTTACTGATTATTAAAATTTAAATAATGTATATGATACAGTTAGTGTTGTTAAACGACTAGATTTGAGCCGATTTTTAAAAACGGCTAACTCAACATTATAGTCCGGAAAATATTGCCTAAGCGTCGAGATTTGGCCAATAGATGCTCAATATGTGCCATCTATGAGCAAAATCTTTAGGCCTGCATAATATTTTTCTGGATAAAATTTTGAGTTAGCCGTTTTTAAAAATAGGCTCAAATTGAGCCGTTTAACAACACTAGATACAGTCAATACGCTTATTGTCTTAGTCACAATATGCGTTTGCGAATTTTATAGGGTATGTATTCTACACAATGCTAGGCTACATTTCCGGTAAAATAGGATTCATAAAATTTTTGAAAGAAAACGCGGTAAAATAAAATATTTAAAGTTATAGAGATCTGCAAATCACCGCCCGGCCCGAAACCTTTCTAAAAATTTTGGTTGGTCTGGGTCGGGCCTTATATCTTTTAAAATAAATTCGGCCGGGTCGGGCTTAAATTTTTAAATAAGATATCATTAAATTTTGTGAAACAAATTGATATTTTTTAATATTCAGAAATAAGACGCTAATATTTTTTTTTACAATAAAATTTTTTTAATTTTTCTATATTTAAATAAATTCAGGTAGGGTCTGGCGGACATATAATCTTTATTTTTATTTCGTGTTGGGCTTTTCGGGACAAAAAAAAATTTTCACGCCGGGCAGGACAAATTTTTTAATTAGGCCCGATGCAGATCACTAAACTTGGGTAAATAGCAGAATGAATCATTCGTTAAAAGTTCTTGCTTTTAAAAAAATTAGGAAAAATTAAATTTTTTTATAAAATGTATTCCTGTTTGTGTATAATTAAATAACCTATCCCATAAATTTCAGACAATTTGATCATTTAAAATTTATATACTGGAATGTGTATTGACTTGCATATAAACTTCAACTTTTACCTCATAATTATTTTATTTCCTAATTTATTTTTTGTATAATTATTTATTATTATTTATATAGCTTATATTATTCATGGCAGTTGCAAAAGGAAAATCATCGATTAAAACTGGACCCATAACATTACACACTGAAAGCGTGATTTACGTAATAGAAAAGATGTTGCCCGATGTAAATATAAATAAATCATTATGGCATGATTTTAATAATCGGATGGACACCTAACATTTTTAAGATACGATTTAAATTTTTGAATTTTCGAAACTCAATTTTATTTTATCTGATTTCACCGAATCACATTAATTATCTTTGTATCTCTGATATTTTGTTTTTTTGGTATAGATTCTAAATCGCTAAAAATTGGGAATATTTTCTTATTTATCCTCGAAATCTCAAATATCAATGTGATAATAATCTTTAGCTGAAATGATTACATTTCAATTTAGTTTTTTAAAAAATATCACTAAAAAATTGAGATTTCATAAATATTACCAGTATTATACATTCCCTGTTTTAAAGTTTTTCATTTGATATTTGATATGTTAAAAATATTTCTAATGTTTAGAAATTTAAAATTGTAATTTCGCCACTATATTAATTAAATATTCTTACATAAAGATCCCATGATTATCTATAAAAAATTTGCAACTTGAACCATGTAAAAGTTTTGATTATGTCCTTTTGTAGCTCTATATATGATAGTTTAATATTAAGGTTGGCAATCTGCTTAATGGAGATAATTTTCTTCTTTCACCAAAAAGAGTTTAATATATGAAGTTATTAGTAAATGAATTGACTAAACATTTTATCTTAAAACTCATGTGATCTGTAATAATTATTATACTTCTTTTTTTGCTGCAAAAACTCGAACCTTATAAAGCTCGTAGATCTATTATAGTGAATATAATTGTGAAAAACTAATATAAAGTTTCGCAATATATTATCTTAAATTAAGATTGCCAAATTTAATTCTTATAAAAAAACTACCACTTTGAATCAGAGCATGAAAAATACCGATTTGATTTAAATCACGTTATAAATTAAATAATTTTATTAGTAATTTGTTGGTACAATATTAGTCATGTAAAATTCCTCCTTTAAAAAACATCGGTTAATTTTTGTAATAATTGATTTGTGAAAAACTCAGGGACCCAGAGTGAACCAAATTTATAATTTTTTGAATTATATATTTAAATTTAAATAATAATTAAAAGTGAAATCTTCTTGATAGAATAATTTAATTTTCATTAAATATATGATCATTTTTAACACCTAAGGTGTATAGAAAACTTTATTATTAAAAATATAAATATCTATATATGATGGAAATGAGTCCTCAAAAATATGACCGACAGGAAAATTGGACGGATAAGACTATTAAAAAAATAAGTCTTATATAAAAAGAATTTTCAATTTATTTTTCTATAACGAATCAGGGTTGCCAAAGTATATAAATATACCATATTGTGTATACCTGATTTAACATTTGCTCAAAATTCAAAAACTTGCAAAGATCCTTGCTCTTTTAAAGATAAAAAATATGAAGATTTTTTTGTAAAAATATTTTAGAGCATGCCCAAGGAAGATTTTAGAATGAAAATGTTTTTTTGTAAAAATTTTTTTTTGATTTTTACGAAATTATGTTCAAAGATTTTTTGCTCAGAATTTTGGTTGAAAAAATCTTCAAATGCTCGTAGATTTTTGTTAACCCTGTATATATGTACCTCATCTGGATACATTTTTATAAAAAGTATTTTTTTAACAACTGCAATGAATAGTTCTATATCAGACCTATTTTTCAGATTTGGTCTGATCTGAATATAAAAGTAGACATGACTAGAGAGATTGTGTGATTATATTCCGAAAGGTTAACGCAGTGATTAAATTTATAGTTCTTTAGGTTAAAAATATTTATCTCAAGTAGATTTTAAAAACTAGATTTGGTTTTCATTTTTTTAGAATATGAATAGTATATATATTAATTTTATAAACTTGAATTGTTTCGCATTTTTTAAAAAGAGTGATCTAAAATTTAAACAGGGTTATTATGGATAATGATATAATTTTTTGTTGTCAAATTAATTCTGCCAAATATATCCGTTATTATTAATTTGGATGGAATCTTTATATATAGAAGAAATTAAAGAATTCATAGTCACTGTTTTCGATATCTATATATTCCGAGCGTAGTGTTGTTAAACGGTTAAGCCGAATCGACTTAGCTGCGACTCGAGCCTAGTTTCTAGTCGAAAAAACGCATTTGTCTCGAGTCGACTAAATGAGCCGCATTGGTCGGCTCCCTTAGTCGGCTCGTGTATTTAACTCGTTGGGTTTGCTCATTTTTTTTGTTTTTTTTATAAAATCTGGTAAATTGCTAAATTTTGGGAAACTGATTAATGTAAACAAAATTATAATAAGAATATGTTGTTTTTAAAGTTTTTCGAATTTTTTTGGCATAAATTGGCTAAAATAAGCATTGCTAACATGTTTAAATAAAATTTTAGTGAAGATGTACCCTTGATAAGTGGCAATTGTCATAATCGTTGTTTTTAAAGTTTTTCAAATTTTTTGACGTAAATGGACTAAAATAAGCATTGCCAACATGTTTAAATGAAATTTTAGTGAAGATGTACCCATGATAAGTGAATTCGTTGTTTTTAAAGTTTTTTGACGTAAATGGGCTAAAATAAGCATTGCTAACATGTTTAAATAAAATTTTAGTGAAGATGTACCCTCGATAAGTGACAATTGTCATAATCGTTGTTTTTAAAGTTTTTCGAATTTTTAAGACGTAAATGGGCTAAAATAAGCATTGCTAACATGTTTAAATAAAATTTTAGTGAAGATGTCCCCTCAATAAGTGACAATTTTCATAATCGTTGTTTTTAAAGTTTTTCGAATTTTTTTGACGTAAATGGGCTAAAATAAGCATCGCTAACATGTTTAAATAAAATTTTAGCGAAGATGTACTCTAGATACAGGGGTTCCCATTCAAAAAAAGAAAATCGTATTTTTTTTAAACTTTTATTTGTTTGAGTTATTCCTTTTTAATTTATTTCTAAATTTTTGCGATTTCTTTACGTTTGTTTTCTTACTGTAGCTTTTCTCAATTTATTTCTAACTTTTTGCGATTTTTTTTACTTTTATTTTTCAATTTATTTTTCTTCAATTTATAAATTTAGGTCCATTTTTTTAACAATTCTTTACGTTACAGATAATATTCTTTTAATGTTTTTTTCATTGTAATCTTTTACATACATTTTTAACCTTTTCAATCTCGTCATTTTTAATCTTTATTTTTTTGACCTCTTTTCAATTTTCTTCTTCTCATTTTTGATAAAAAATTTTTAAAATTATATTTAATGTTTTTGGCAGACAATATAATTACAATTGCTAAATTATTAATTAATCGTTTGGTTTACCTTAACTGTAGTAATACCAAACGATATTTAAATTAATAAAATATAATCATTTTTAAATTCTTATTTTCAAAACGCATTAGAAAATTATTATTATTTAAAAACAATAGGAGAGGAAGACAGACTAAATAAAATTATTTTTTTTTTTATATTTCCATGGATTTTAATTCGAGTTATTTTTGTACATTATTATAATATATAGTGTAGGTTATTTTATAAATAGATTATATAAAGTAATAAATTAGTTTGATCAAAGTCAGATATAAATTAGATGTTTTAACTAAATGGTCTTTAATAAACAAAATTATATGTACTAGGATTTTGTAATGAACTAAACTAGCAAAAATAATTATCAAAAATGAGAAGAAAAAAATTGAGAAAAGGTCAAAAAATTAAAATGACGAGATTGAAAAGGTTAAAAATGCATGTAAAAGATTATAATGAAAAAATCATAAAAAGAATATTAGTATAATGAAAAAAAACGTAAAGAATTATTAAAGAAATGAACCTAAATTTATAAATTATTTTTAAAAATACAAAAGAATTTTATTTAAACATGTTAGCAATGCTTATTTTAGCCCATTTATGCCAAAAAAATTCAAAAAACTTTAAAAACAACATATTCTTATTATAATTTTGTTCACATTAATCAGTTTCCCCAAATTTAGCAATTTACCAGATTTTATAAAAAAAACAAAAAAAATTGAGCAAACCCAACGAGTCGAATAGACGAGCCGACTACATGCGCTGACTAAGTGAGTTGGCTCATTCGGCTCCTTGATCGGCTTGAGACGGAGCCGTTTTTTACGACTCGAGTCCCAAGTCGTAAGAACTCGACTTTTTAACAACACTATCCGAACGAATACCCTTCTACAATTATACCAGGCTCTTAACTAGGATCCCTGGGCATTCCAATATTTATATGTATATAAAAATCAGAGAAATTTATTATTTTTTACAAGAATAACCAATGGAGTGTTAAATGAACGTCAAAATTAAAAGAATGTATACACTTCATTAGATATAATTATTATTTATAATTTGTAGTTATTAGTGAATCTTTAATTGAACCACAATTGATAAGTTTAAAAATAGGTCATTTTTCTTTGGCCCTTAATATTTCCAAAAATATAAGGGCTTGAATGCTAAAATTTAACCACTGCCTTATTTACGTTACATTAGTCAAATCCTATTTCCAGATAATCGTGATCGATTTGACAATGACCCATTGATAAATTATTCTCCATATATATAACTAACTGACTTTTATGAATTAAATTTCTGTAATTTATTTTAAAAAATAAAGCTAAAATTCGATATATCATCTTGCGAGGATGGATGTAATATTATATCATGCGAAGGCCTAGGAATCCCCTTATAAACAAATTCCTCGATGTATGGTTATTTATTTAATAAAATATCACATTAACCTTATATTGAGATTAGTTTATATTGAAATATATATGTAATAAATTGTAACTGCTAGAAAATATGCCATATTTTTTTATAAATATACAGAACATTTTATAAATAATGTACGCAAATTAAAAAGAATTTAAATCTGTTGAATTTGATATATTGTATTAAATATATAAACAATTTATAAAAAAAACTAAATTAATATCCAATTTACTTTTATATATTTATATTTTTTTTAGGATGAGTGGTTTATATTTGTTTATTGCTAAATTTATAATATTTTACATGTCAATTTATTAACTAATTTTATTGTCCAAATTTATAAATGCATGTTTTAATTAAAATATCAAAAAATGTGGAACATAGGAAGAACTTTATAATTATGAATATTATTTTTTTTTAGCTTCTTCTATTTAATTTATTGAGTTTCATTACGAATTCGCAATAGTTATTAATATCGTGACATTTTAATATTGTTAATTTTCTATATAATAAATTATATAGTCACACATACCATTCCTTCATAGGCTTATCTGAAGGATTTATAGCTGAGGGCGCTATTTTTTCTCCCATTTTGATTTTATTTATGGAAACGTAATTTACTTCATCAAAGGTATTGTCCAGTCTATTTTTGTTCCCGTTATTGTAATGATTATTAACATGAGGTAGCGTGTGACAACCGTTTTGGAATTGTTCGAGGGCATATTTATGATTAAGGGTAGCTCCACCATTTCTTAATGGGTCTAAACCGTGATAAATAATGGGGGGTGTCAAGCATTTTATAGGTTGTTGATGTCCTCTAGTTACTATTGACAAATGATTTTTGATCATGGACCCTGGAGCGAAACTTATTAAGTCATCCTTTCCACCAGCATTAGATAAAGGTTTGGGGGAAAGAAAGTTGTGTGAAGGGTTAACTAGAGCTCCATCCTCGTTAGCTTCAGTGTGCGACAGCGTGTTGTAACAACTATCAATTTCCTCCGTTTCATAATCTTCGTCCTGTGTTGTCAAGTTTTGGTAAACAGCTCCCCGCTCTTCGGATTTGCTAAATATCATTTTTATTTTACCTCCCTTTTTAGAGGAATTTAACGAATCCAATCCTTTGGCTTTAAAATTAACATCTAAACGACTGTTGTCATTTGTATCCGAGATTACAGGGTTGTATTGCAAAAATGGATTACTAAATGACAGCACATTTTCTGTAACTTTGATGGGATTGGTTGTGTAGTTAATGGTAGTATTTGTGATAAGGACTTTTTCACCATTTAATTTGTGATTTTTTACCGAACATTTGTTCTCTACGACATAATTGTCAAGTTTTTTATTATCCAACTTTTGCACATTTTTCTGACCTTGTGATTTCTTCGTTTTACGCCTTCTGTTGATCGTGCCTATACAACAACACAGGGCTATACAACAAAGTATCACCAATAAAATTGCTATTAACGAACACACAATTATAAAAATTTTGGTTCTCCGTTTATTGAAGAACACGTTTGAAACCTTAAAATATGGCTTTTTTGTAATGTTGTTTTTTAGGTTATCTTTATGAAAGCCAGGTTTTATGCTGGTATATATGGTTGAATTCACAATTATATTGCTTGGATAATTATAAATTGTCGATAAATAAGATAAACCGTCCCTAGACATAGTATCTTCCAAATTATTTGTGTTCTTTGTCGATTGTGGATGTAGATAAGTAGACAAAGTTGAATTTACATTAAAATGTGTATCCATTTGATTTTCTCTATATTTTATATTCTCATCTATATAACCAGATCCTGACCAATCATTCCTAATCATCTGGCCATCTTCATCATCGATGAGGTTTATTTCTAATCACAAATATTAATAAGAATCATGAGCTATAGAAAAAGATTAATATTTTTTAAATAAATTATTCTTATAAGAAATATGAATATAAAATCTAAAAAACATTTTAAATTTTTTTACTTATATTAGAGGTTGTTGTTGGAATTAGTCTAGGATAATAAGGTGTCACCAATCTATCTTCATCTTTTTATTTAAAAAAATGAAATATATTATGAAATAAACTTTTATATTCAGGTATAATGATACCTTTGGAGTCATCGGTGTTAGAGCAATTATTAAAATTTGATTTCGCCGTGCACAGCAAATAACCAGAAATTAATGTTGTTGACTCCATGTCCAATGTAGATGTCTAATATAGGTAAAAAAAAATTTTTTATCAATCTTAAATTAAACATAAATTCAATGATGCAAATTTATAATTTGGAATTTTAAATATCAATTTTAGAAAGATAAATAAAATTATTTAAAATGATGTTAATTTAATAATAAAACTTGATATATATACCTTATATTCTTGAATAGGTCTTATTTTATATATAGGCTTCGTGTGAGACAACGGTTTTACCATTTTTTTCAACTCTTCCTTCATAGAAACCACTTTTTCTACACGTCCTTCAACGAATGTATTAGAACTTCCCTTTAAGACTTCATCGAGAATCATTAGCCCATTAAATGAGGCTGCCGATAATATCCCTTTAAAATGGCCACCTCCTGTTCTCGATATTTGCCGTTTTAAATATTTCCCATTTTTCGGATAAAATCTTAAAATTTGATTGGGTTCTAAATGGTAAATATCCCTCTTTCTTTTATGTGAGTTATAGATTGAATTTCCCCCCAAAGATATTTCCGCTATACTATCGAAAGTCGCTTAATATATTTTTGTTTTTTGAAAAAAATTATTAAATATTTTTAAAAACAAATAAATAAATTTCAATAATTAATTTAGTTAGTTAGACAAATAATTTACGAGGATTCTCTCGCCTAGCTGGTGAATCGGAAAATGAACGATGTATCATATATTTATGATCAACAGACAGTGTGAGGTTATTATCTATCCTTTCATAGTTTATCACGTGGTAACGTCCATCGGCAAATGAATTGGAATAAAGAGATGAGGCGTGACTTATAGAGAAATTTTTGATGATTGAGCTAGAATTTGGTTCTGTATTAAAAATATGAATGAGGACAGAAGGATAAACAGTGAGAATTCTTTCTCCCATCCCTAAATCTGTCTTGAGTCTCACGTTTCCATTTATGATAGAAAGATCGATATAATCATTACTCTGCGAGCTTCTAACGCTCATTATTTCACCTTGCTGGTGTAAAGTTGCGAAGCCGATGGCTAGAAATTCAGATTTTGAGTCCGTTTGATCGTAGGTAGGAAAATAATAAGATATGATACCACTCTCTTCTTTATTTGAATCACTTCTTAACGTGGATGAAGCGATGTGAGATATGAGCATTGATGTGGAAGGGCCTACACCAAAGTTATATGATGCGTTGCTGTATTGAGAACAATCCTCTCCATCATACCCAGTTAACTTGCAATCGCAAGACCATGTGTTCCAATGTTGTATACATTTGCCCTCATTATGACACAATTGTTGACTTCGCATATTTCGTTTCCTCATTAATTTTTTATTTCTATAATGCTCTTTTAAGTTGTAGTCACTCTCATTATCATAACTTACATCATCTAAGAAAATATTATATTTGTAAAGGATAATAAAATATTTATATCATTTAATATTTGTATAATTTTCAAAAAAAAGAAATTACTTTCATGAGCAATTTTATGGGAGTAATACAATTTTGAATATAAATCTCTCTTGACTAGAATTCCCCGCAGGCATTGTTCCTTAGGTCCGTTGCAGCCAGGCTCCAGAAAAGGGGGTTCGAATTTAAAAAGAGAATCAACTAATAAATCTGGTTCCCAACCATTTATGTTTAAAGAGGCTAAACATCCCTGGTAGCCTGCATTCGATTTTATAAGCCCAGGTGGAAAATTAAGAATTTGCTCCGGAACCCCACCAACATATATTGTTCCGCTGTTCCCCTCGAAAAATTCGTATTTTGTATCTAATATGACAAATAGAGATGCAGGGATCTTATTTACTTTAGTATAAATTTACCTTGAGACATAGTTTTAACTACCGAAAAATCTACTATCAAAACATGATCGTTAACGGTGGTTTTTGAAATGGTGACTTCATGCCAATTGTTATCGTCTAGCCTATGCAGCGTATTTGATTTTAGAAACTGTGGACCAGCTCCGAAATTGAAAACATAATTAATCAACCCGTCTACTAATTCGATACATATAAATTCCTATAAATAAGATTTGAATAAATAAGAAGTTATATCAGTTCTTTTTAATCATAAATTAAAATATGTTAAATCATTATTTCATTGAATTGCTGTAAATATGATTTTGTTTTAGAATTAAGATGAGATTGTAATGAAACAAATATTAAAAAATAAAATATGGAAAATTAAATTTTGAAATTCCGGTGGAGGATAAATCACGGAAAGATTTTATAATTACTGAAAAGAATTAAAATTAATTTGTTATATTCAATTATAAAAAGTTATTTTAATTATTTATTTGTAAAAAAATAAATTTTTAAAAGGATCGAAAGATTCATCAATAAATAGCAAAAGAATCACGATCATTTTCCTTTAAAAGATCAACGAGACAAATCCAAGATATTTTAATCTATTATATTAGTGCTTAGATTATTTTAAAATTTTACTTAACTAAAACTATATCTGTTGAATATAAAACCCCATATAGACGCTTCCCTCCTCTATTTGTCCCTTCTTTCAAACTCCAAAATTTATTTTTTGATATAATAACTATTTTTTAAAATAATTATTTTATCAAGTTTTCTTTTATTGTAAAATCGAATCTTGGACAATTTCCTCTAAATTTATATTTGGATTCAATATAAAACACCAAAAACCTAGTTAATCTTTTATCGATCATGGTTTACCTCTAGTGGCTCTTATTAGTATTAACTTTGAAAAATTCCCTTCTACACTTGCCACAGTTATTGGTATTATTGTTCGGATAATTTGTAAAACTTTAGTCATGTTTTGGTAAATTTCTAGTTTTTTCGATTGTAGATATATTTTAGTATAGCTCGAGGCCCACTGTTTTGTTTAAAAAATATGCAGAAATTTTTTTTTATTAAAAAAAATCTAAAGTATCAATATCTATACGTTTTAATTTTTTAGGGAGTTGTTTAGTAGAGATTCAATTTTATTTTTTGTATTCTAACATTCTTTCTTATTTCGTCAATGATTCTAAAATTTCACTGGTAAACCAATATCTTGGATAAATCAATTTTCCCCTTTTTAAGTGTAAATCGAAAATATTATAAATTTTGGTTTAAAATATAATAAAAATTTATACTTGATTTCAAAGATGAAAGAGTTAGAATCGTGATGAGATTGGTTTGATGTAATATTCAGTTAAACAAGAAATATCTTATTCAAATTGTTTCAGATGTACTTTTGAACAAAAAAGAAATGGCTTATTCTAATTATTTCGAGATTATTTAATTTAACAGACTATGTAAATGATTATTTAAGAAAAGATATATAATTGAGATTTTGTGAATTATACCACTTTCTAATTTTTGGGAAAGTATTTTATTTTGAATGTATTTTCGTTTTAACCCTTTTCTTTTAATTATTTTACTTTAATTTTATAATGTTTTACTGTATTATTTATTATGGTATAATTAATAGTTATGAATAAAAGAAACTTTAAATTATGTTAATGTTTCAAAATTAACATATTTATTACTTAATCTTATTTCTTTTAATTAGAAAGATCCAACTTCGCAAATTAACATGGTTAATGTTGATTGTACTTAATATGTCATAATAATTTATAATATCTATTTTCCAGTAATGTGGAAGGCTGAAAGTTTCTGTAAATTCCAATACCCAAAATGTTTCTATTTAAGAAATTTTAATTTATTTTAGCTTTTGAAAAGATTTAACCTCCATCTTATCACTACCATAATAGATGATTACTTCCTTTAATATCGAAGAATAGGAATATTATTTTTTCTAAACTTTTTGATGAGCGTGTACACTTTTTCAAATTTTTAAAGCGCATAGACTTTTTCACACATTTAGTGCGATGTTGTTTTCTTATTCTTTTTCTTCTTCTCCGTTTTATGGCGATTTCCAGGTTTACCCGGGTTGGCCAATTTTCCCTCTGATTTTTCTTTTTCATTTTTGACGGTCCTGAGTATCAATATTTGTAAGATCCGCCGCTATCACATTTGTCCACGTCATCTTGGGTCTTCCTCTAGGTCTTGATCCTCCTACTTCCATCAAGATGCATCTCTTTACCCAGTCATCTTTTGTCATACGTTCCACATGCCCAAACCATCTTAGTCTATTTCGTCGCATTACCACTCCAATCATTTTTATACCCAATCTTGCTTGCAATTCCTTGCTAGTTTTTCCCTCTCTCAGAGATACCCCACACATCCATCTAATCATCCTCATCTCTGTTTTTTCTAATTTGGCTTAGTGAGCTGCTTTCATTGCCCATGTTTTGCCGCCATAAAATAAACAACACCTAACACAGCTTACGTAAACTTTCCCCTTTAATTTCAGAGAGACTTTTTTATTTGTAAGAATAGACGACATCTCTCTGAACTTCTTCCAAGCTTGTCTGATCCTTGCAACAACGGCAGAATCTACACTACCATCTGCGTTTAGCATATCACCTAAATAGCAAAACTTATCCTTTTCTAGGGTTGACCCATTGCCAATATCCAGACCACCATTTTCTAGGTTATCATTATTATGTATCCCTTTCATGCATGTTCTACAAATAAAGGTCATTCTTTCTAGCATCAAACTTACCATTTCCCCTCTACATCTATTATGCACCCATTTCTGGCATCTGGTGCATTGGATAGAATTTCTAGCAACTCCTTTCCCACATATACCACAAGGCCACTTAGCGGATTCCACTATCTTTAGATTTTCGCCACCAATTATCACCTTTGTCTTTGATGCATTCATTTTCAGGCCCTTTGCTTTCATAGTCATCTTCCCTTTACTAATTTTATCCCTCAATTCTTCCTCACTATTTGCCATTAATACAAGGTCATCTGCATATAATAGCTCCCAGGGAAGTCCTTCAGGCATTTCTCTAGCCACCACATCCATTACTAAGATAAATAATAATGGACTCAGTACCGATCCTTGATGAAGTCCTACCTTCACCTCAAAGCTGTCACTATTACCATAATCCGTCAGTACTGATGTTTGTGTTCCAACATACATTGCCATCACTGCGATAACCAACCATTCCTCCATACCTGATTTTCTCAAGGCCCATCTTCTTGTAACCTCACGCGACACCCTATCAAATGCTTTCTCCAAATCAACAAAGGCATAATAAAGTTTCTTTTCTTTCGCAACATACTTCTCCTGCATTTGTCTCACCACAAAAATTGCATTTGTCGTGCCTTTTCCCGATGTAAAACCAAACTTCATCAATTTTAGTTTGTTCCCTTTTCCGCTTCTCTAACACCCTCTCAAATACTTTCATAGCATGTTCCAAGAGTTTAATAGCTATGTAAGACCCACAATCTAAAGGATCACCTTTCCCCTTGTATACTGGGATAATTATACTTCTTCGCCAGTCCTCGGGAATAGTTCCTTCTGTGACAATCTGATTGGCTAAATTCATTAACCAATCAATCCCCAAATCATCAGAACCTTTAAACATCTCTGATACCACCATCGTTAAACCCGATGCCTTCCCTTTTTTCATCTTTTTCACTGCTCTCATAATCTCGTCCTTGCCAAATTTACACCCTGGACCTTCTTTGCACAACTAACATTATTATCCCATTCATTTTCTTCATTCAAAAGTCCTTTCATGTAGATCTTCCAGGTGTTCTTAATACCACTACTATCTATCACCATTTATCCTTCCATATTTTTCAAACATTTTACACCTATCACATCCTGCCTCTTTTTTGACATTTACTTTGCCATTCGAACCATATTTCTCATTCCATTTCTTTAGCAAACTCCTGTCTTTTTTCTTCTTGCGCCTTCGCTATTAATTTCTTTGCATTTCTTTTAGCCATCTTGTAAATATCGTTATCATTATTTTCTTTGCTGTTATACCATTCTTTGAAGCACCTTCGTTTCTCATCGACAGCTTTCGCTACCCCCGGGTTCCACCACCAAGTCTCCTTATGTATAGGCGGCCCTTTTGTCCATCCACATACCTCCTCAGTTGTCATCACCCAGGCTTTCTTCATGGCTTCCCACTTGTCATTTACCCCAGATGCTTGTGCCACCTCTGCCTCCCTAATCGCCAATGTCATATTGAAGTGACGTCTAGCACTCTCCTCCTTACAATTTCCAAACCTTCAGCCTTGGCACAAACTCTCTTTTAATGATCCTGGCACCTTTAAGAGTGAGTCCTACAACTAGTGATGCTTATTTATACATTCCTCTCCCGGTGTCACTTTCATTTTTTTTTACTATACATCGGTAACATCTCCTTAATAACAAATAATTCACTGCACCTTTGGTACTATCCGACTTATAAGTCACCAGTTTCTCGGATTCTTAAACATTATATTACAGACAATCATATCCATAGCATCACTAAATTCTAAAATCCTCTCTCCTTACAAATTTCTCATGCTGTAACTGAACCCTCCATGTACTCCTTCATAACACTCACTACTCGCTTCATGTCCATTCAGATCGCCAGCCAGGATAATTCCCTCTTCATTTGCCAGTCTCGATGTCACCCCCAATAGACTGTCCCAAAATATATCTTTCTCTTAATCACCACTAGGCCACCAGAGGAGATGATGATAAACAGAATATTATAGGCTAAAAATATTTTGCCTCATATACTAAGAAAAAATATGTTTCTGATACTGTGGAAAGGTGGCGCAAAAAATTTGTATCTTTCCCAATACCGTAAATGTTTTTTAAGAATTTTAATTTATTATAGTTTTTGAAAATATGTTTAACCTCCATCTTGAAATCATTACCATAATAGATAATCAGATCCTTTAACATCGAAGAATTTGAATATTAAATTTCTTATTTTTAATGATCGTGTCCACTTTCCCTTTTCTAAATTTTAAAGCGCTTATCATAGGCAACATTATTGTGGTCTACTCTCATTTATCTTTAACATTATTTTCTGTAAATTTTGATCGGCATTCGGTTATATTTACCAAGAAATTTTAATTTTTTTTTCAAAAATTTTGTAGATAATCGCAATACCATTCGTTGAATCTTATCAAAACTGAGATTAT